CATTAAAGGATATGGCGACTAAACGACAGTAGTGGCGCTCTTGTTGTCATTTCTTAACAAGGCAGAATGCTTGAAAAAAGGTATGCATGAACACTTAGATTGTGTGCTCTGTGTGTTGAACATAGAGGTTCTTTTTCTTTGCCTCCCTCTAAGTAGGCCTAATCCCTCTCCTTCTTGTGTTTTATCACTTGATTTGTGTACATTGTGAGCTTGGCAGCGGTCAGTGAAGCTCGCTTCACTGCATCTCGTTGTACGATGATGATGATGACTGTTGCTGTAAACCAGGGTGCAATGAACGATACAATTTTATCACCTTTTCTGTTTTCCTTTTATATCCAAAATTTTCCAGTCACCCCAAATATTTTCACTTTTAAATATACCGATGACATAGTAGTTGGTGGTGTATCTCGCAACAACAACCCTTCAACTAACCCCCTTCAATCAGCCATAATTTCCATTTCGGAATGGTCCGATAGTGTTAACCTTTCTTTAAACCCAAATAAATGCATTGAAGTTGTGTTTCCATTGACCGTAGGCCATCAACTGTTGCTGGATCATCTGTTCCCAACATATTAATCAATAAGCTAAAAGTTAAAAGGTCACAACGCTACAAATATCTTGGATGCTTCGTGTCTACTGACCTCACATGGTCCTATCACGTAGAACAAACATCTTAAAATCAGAAAGTTGACCTTTTATATTTCACGCCTTCAGCATCTGAGGGTGCCATTGTACATCATCTCCAAATTTATTTTCTCGTGCGTTTTGTGCCATTGGACATACTGCTCTCCTGTTATCTTTCCCGGTCTACTGTCTAAGGATTCCATACTAATTAGACGCTCTCTGAAAAGCGCCCCTAGATATGGAGCTGTATCTTATGAGGAGCTGGTTAATCCCATTGGTAATCAAAACCTGAATACGTGTGACCGTCTGTATGACTCCATCTTGTCGGATGCGTCACAGCCCTTACGCACAGCTCTAGCTAGCTCCATTTTAACTTCTATAACCAGCAATAAATTTAAACCTTTATATACTCGTACCACTGCTTTTCACAACTCCCTTGTACCTTACCTTTCACGTTTGTTGGTTTCTAGGGAGCGGATTTTAAACGAACCTATACACGGTCTGATGTAAATTTTTACCTTGAAATTTTCATTTTTTTACACGTTCTCAGTAACTATTCGTCATATCTTTAAGCTCATTTTTAATAGTGCGCATTCCAAAGCAAAAGCGATAACATTCTTTTCACTGAAAATTCTGTCCACATTAGATGAAAAAAATTGCACTGTTGACTTTGACTTTGAAACAAATTCGGACTCGTGTCATCTCATAGCATTGTGATAATAAGGTCCAACAATAAAACTGTGATACATGCGTAAAATTAGATATGGCCACACTTATTATCGTTGAAACTACCCAAAGGCACAGACAACGTTCAGGACGGGTGATTAATTAAAATCTGCCGGATGTTAGGAACGAATGGATCCAGTATTCCACACAAGTATATCAGCTAGTTAATTTCTGTTGGTCATTTTCAGTTTTCAGAACAGCAGGCGAAGTTGACCTCATAGTCACAAAGACCGTATTGAACAGTAAAGCTGTCTACCACCAAAGTTGGGGGTCGGTTGTAGGGTTCGAACCTCGGACTAAAAGGGCTGAAAACACGTCGGTGAAAGCGACTCACAATATTTCATCACCACATAAATGGTTCAGAACAACTTTTGCTAAATGTAGCCACTTTTCAGGCCCCTGACGAAACAGACAATCCATTAATTATTGCCTTCGTCTAATCTACACAGCCCTCCATCACATAACTGATGCTGACAAAAGTAAATAAATGTTGTCAGTGATAATTATTTTTTCTAACTCCTGAATAACACGGTGCTCTCTCGTTGCTCCTCGAAACCGTATACGAGTAACAGATCAAAATTACGATAGACGGGATGAATGGACATGTTTCATTATGGATAAAAAGTAGCCTTGCGACAGAAAGCATCAGCACACAAAGCATGAAGGTCTTGACAAAATGGGGCCAACAAAACGACATACAAGCACAAAAACAAACACAGACATACACAAACCCACCTCATTCTGTTAAACCGAGAAGAAAAGAGTTCTGATTACAAGATTTCCCATGGAGAGGAAGTTTTCGGACTGCAGTTTTATTCAGTCGAAAAACAGATGTTTTTTTTTCATTTAAAACAATGCAAATGCTGATTATGTAATAAAGAATAAATGGAACAGATTATATACTGAGTATAATCGGAGAATTGTTCTTAGCTTTATTTTTATGTCCAAGCTATTAGAACCAGAATAGGAACAACTAGGCTGTCTTACCGATAATCGTATAGCGATCGGTTGTTAATCCATTCGGGATTCCAGACACGGTCGTCGTAAAGCAACCGCATATCTCGTCACGGCAACAATCCAGAGAATGCTTAAATATCAACAGTTAGTTTGCGCATGTAACATTTTACAAATTGGCAATCTGTTGCGTACACTGGCTATCGAAACGAACCGGTGGCGATAGGATTTTCTTCGAAGCAAGCACCGCTCCTCTATATTATCGCGGAGCTGTTAAACAACATTAAAGATTTGATCGTAGTCATCGATGACCAAAGAGTCCAATAATCCTAGATTCGCGAGGATCAAATTTTGCAACCAATTCTAAACAATAAGTGAATCTAAACCCTGTATACGCGGAGAATTACCTTGGAACCGGTATTTCCGCAACTCTGTAATGATGGTATCTTCGTATTTAGGTCCGGGTATCGAACCGATGAATGACCTAGTCAAACAGACAAAATATGAATACGTAATTGTTTCATTGATGCCCTCATTCTTTACTTTCTTCCACTATATAAGTATATGATCACACGGTTTTATGTCATACAGCGAAATAAGAAAGCTAGGAGATGGTGATGGTGACGGAATTCCAACTCATGACCCCCGAAACGATTTCCCTGAGTTGACCCATTCGATCATTGCTGTTGTCTGGTTTATCGTCACCCTATCGTGCAATGATGAATGTGCGCAATCTAGACCATCAAATAAGAAAAAAAACCCCACATTAACAGAAACCTTGCACGATATTACTCCGCGCCCTCCAATGGATTTAACTGAGACTTACGTGCGATTCCCCATTTGTCATTTTGCGGAACACATTCGGATTGTATCTCTGATGAGGAAGGGGAGAATGAAAATAGTAATACATGTGGGCCGTATGCATGGAAAAATTCGCACTCTACTTCCCATTCACTTGACCAATCGGAACCGATCATTTTTTACTGGGACAAAACGAAACGTCAACGTATTCAATGTTAAACTAACGGACAAGAACCACGATTCATTTCAAAATAAACAACTTCCGGAAAAGTCCGAAACAATGGGTTCCAAATGTAATTCTCCTGGCAACGCACGCATTAGTTTCGAAAATATGATAAATATTGGAACACAGCTGTGCATCGCGATCCGTCTGCGACGACGGTTTCCCTCAAAAGAAACCATCCACCAGATAAAATGCCGTACCGAATGGAACATGCGAGCAACAAATAAGAATAACAACGCAATAAGACTCACCGCACATGTCACGTGCTTACGATGTCCAACCAGATCGAGACTGGGCATCCAATTGGTTCGATCGATCAACTTGGCTGTTGGAAAGCCGTTATTAATGGCATGAGGAGCAGCAATTGTGGATCCATCTAAACTCCATGAAATACGCATCACTTGGCTCTGTCCAGTAGCCTGTGCAAAAACAAGTATTGATTAAGTAGACCGACTTGAAAGTGTTCCCCAAAATATCAGTAACTTCGTGAAATGTGATCAGATTCATGTGATGAATAAACGAATGAAGTGAGCAGAATGATTACAATGGGAGAGTAAAAGAGATCACAGTACTCGAGGGCAAATGATGGTGGGTTATAACAGCCCCCAATGAGCTGAATGGACATCCAAAGAAGAATTAGATAAAATATGGGATACGCCAAACAATCTTTGAGGACCAGCTACAGCTTCTGTGTACATTTGATATGATCTTCAGGGGAAGGGGCTAGTTAGTGTCATCAACTGATGAAAGACAGTCAAATGATAATAAATAGATTTGAAATTGGACCACGTTTTCTGAGTGGGTTCAATATCCCCATAAGAAGACAATCTCTGTAACCCAAGCAAATATATCAGACTCCTAAAATATACATTCAAGATGAAGTTTCCCTACCCGAGAAGACGTAGGACGTAGAAGCGGGGTACTTAGGGATTCCTCTCGACAGTGGGAGAAGTTTTCGCACTTCATTGGACAGCTACCGCCTGCCCAAGTTGGGTAGTCCCAAGCCAATAAAGTGCTGTCCGATCCACTTTCCGCTTGTCTCATTGGGTGCATGAGACTAAGGGCCGATCACGAAAAGCGGACCGATAATCAACGCACCAGCGAACAACACATTGAACCGATACCCGAAGGCCTTGCGTGACAGGTCTCTAGAAGCTCCCACAAGGGTGCTTCGACCTCGCTCCCGTTGGATTTAAGCCCCGCTGCCTTGTGGGTCCGACTTTTGAGTCAAAGGCTCCAGTTAGGGATCCAAAAAACCCTTCGTCGGTGTGGGCTGCCGCGAAGTATGCAGTGCCCAAAAGTTTTAGGTACCCATTTCGACAACCTTTCTTTCTGAACTGAGCGGAACGGAACCAAAGAAGAAGAATACTGGTGTGTATCGGACGGAACTACCTCTGGTTGTTTATCAAGAACCATGGTTCCCATACATACATTCCACAAAGCGGAGGATTTTTTAGGATTTTCTGTTAAAGAAAAACGTCATCATCTATGCTGAAATGTGACAGATTACAATGATTGATCGACGTAGAATCGATGTTAAACTTCGTTGTGGTGGTGACAATGGCGTACATTGAGAACGTTTTCAGATATATTTTCTGAACATGTCCGAGTGATATGAGTGGTGATCTTCGAACTCAGAACTCTGTGCTTCCCCTACAGTGAATAAACAATTGCAAAATCCAG